ACCAAGCAACACTATCCCCAAGAAGAGAAGGCAATTAAATAGGGAGAGGAAGTAAGACGAAAGTAGCGCTCTCTGATCTGGGTTTTTCCATCACCTCTTAGCTAAGTTTTGTGGCATTTAGACCTGAGCTGGCCAACTTGGCTAGGAGGAGCACATGTTAATACTCAGGTTCCACTCTCCCTCAGGCTGGTAACCAGTCCACCTCCAGTGAAGCTAAACTAGTCCCCCACTGTGTTCCCACAGTTCCCCTCTGGTGCCCAGAAAGACAGACAAGCTCTCCAAGAATTCACTGAGAAAAACCATAGAGTGGCTCAGCTCTGCAATGCAAAGAATGATGAGATTTGTTCCCAGATACCCTCACCATAGGCACATGGGGGTGCACCAGGAGTAGAAATAGGACCTGGAGTGTGGCTATGCCTGTGCTTGGACATGGGGGCCAGTCCCTCGAGCAAGGCCATTTCCTTAGCCTAGGACAGCAGCAAGCACAGGCCAGTGGTAGGCAAGGTACGGCCACTCTCACATAGTCCCCTCAAGTTTCCCACTGACTCATTGCAAAAGAAAGCAGTAAATTCCCCCTTCCAGCCCTCCTCCCTCCTGCTGTGTCCTGATGCCCAGCTTTTGCAGACAGAGCTCAGCTCTTGTTTTGTTCTGGAAAGATTAAGTGAGGGGTTCAGCTGAGAAGATGCAGTTTGATGGCACCTGATAGAAGAAAGGAATATTGGTAGTTTCTGAGCTTGGGGCAAGATGAAGTACTGAGGCTGGTCCACTATAGCTTGGACTTTATACATTAATTCCGACAAATGCACAATTCACAGTGATGTGACTCTGTAATCTTCTTAGATATACATGTGACCCAACTCAGTAAAGTGTCTGGCCACTGCACTCAAGAGATAGAGTTATCCCTTTTCACAAGTGGGCAACCACAACCCAGATTTAAGTGACTCCCCCAAGGTCATACCCATAGTCTGCGGCTGAGCAGAGAATTGGACCCAGGGCTCAAGTCCTATGGTTTTTTATCCTGATTACACCCACACAACCCCTTAATATAGATGTACTGTCTTGGTGCAAAGCATCATCTTCCATACTAAGGTGTGCTTTGCATGGATTACTGGATTAAGCATTGAGGTATGAATTTCCTTACTGCAGGCAGAACTGCTGGATGGAGTAGGGTGAATGGGACAATGCACAGAAGCACTTAATAGGAGGTTAGTCAGACAAACATAATAGCTCACAGATCTTCAGCACAGAGTAAGACCCCTGTTCAGAGAGACAGTTCCAACATTTCAACTGGAGAGAGAGTCTCAACGTGTTAGCAGCACCATGAAAAAGGTTAGGGAAAAATCAGAGTGGAAACAGGGTGACCTTCTTAAAAAAAAAAAGAAAGAAAAAAAAGAAAAGAAAACAAAGGTTAACCAAATTTCCTTACCCATGAAATATGGAGATGACAAATTGACAAAGCAATAAATAATATGGTTTTTACATAGATCGCTTAGTCAAATGCGTGTACTCGAATATGCCTTTTGACAGTTGAAGACAAAGTGATCGATTCAGGAACAAAGAATACAGACAGGCCCCACGTACAAGATGGAGGATGACTGGAGAGCAGTAACTCTGTAAAGGACTTGGGGCAATGGGAGAGTCCAACTGAACAGGAATTTCCCAGGGCAGTGCAGGAGGGGCTAATACAAAGAAATGCAAGAGTAAGGAGGCAGTATTATTTCTGCAAATGGTATTTGCAAGACTTTAACTAAATACCAGGTCTAGTTCCAATACTGACCCTCAAAAGAAGATTGGAAAACTGGAGAGGATTCAGAAGAGGGGTCCAAAAACAATATCCAAACACCCTGTCTTACCGTGATACTTAGTCTTCCATACAAAGATTTATATCTAAGACGTGACCTGAACATGTTCAACTAACTGCTAGGGAAGAGATATATGTGATGCCAGCCAGCTCTTCAGGAGCAAAAGACCAAATGAGATCCAGTGGTTGGAAGCTGGACAAGTTCATGCTAGAAATAAGGAGCAAGTTCTTAACAGAAAAGCTATTAACCATTAGAAAAGTATGTAAGAACTCTTCCCAAAAATCATGTCTGAGCTCCCATCGGATGGGCTTGGTACAGAAATTACCAGGTAGGTCCCACATAGGGGACATATATTGCGCTGGTATAAAAAAAAACACTTGGGAGTGTTGCAGCAAAAAATGTATCAGTGCAACAACACTTCACTCAGGCTTTGCTCAAAGCAGCTATATTAACATAGCTACTAGGGATGAAGAGCCTCACTGTGGACCCTACTTGAATTCCTAGTTGTAAAACCACATCCAGTGTAGAAATCACATCATCATCACACACCCGCCTTCCACTGGAGGAGGGAAGGAAAATCCTTTCCAAGTCTTGACCCAAAGAAACAAAAAAAGTACATCAGGTTACTTATTCTGGTGCAGGTTGCCTTTATAAAAACAGGATGATGGTTGCCTGTGAGCCAGGAGTAAATCAAATGCATTGGGACAATTAGTTTTGCATTTGCCCCAGAAACACAGACTGCTAATGGATGTGCTCCACCTGCATTCTCCGTGATGTTTTTTTGTGCTGGCTCTCGAGAAATTGTCTGGTGTGGTGGTTAGGCAGCACAGTGACACCTTGTAGACAAATTCATCCAGAGCGGCATGAGTTTAGGGTTAGAAATGAAGCACTTAAATGCAAAAAGATCCAGGAGTCCCTCAGCTAGCAATACCACCCAGGTGCTTATATAGCAACCACAAGTAATTTGGGGGAAAAGGTGGAAGAGTTTGCAGCAAAATGTAAAATGCCAAGGAACAGAGACTTAAAGGAAAAGTTCCCACAGATTTTGCAAACAGTTCAGGAAGGTGCGTTACTGTAAGACAGACAGACAGAGCTGATACACTAATAGCAGACAATAGTATCATGCCCTTTAAGTGTTACGGTGGCATAAATCATAAAGATGGTATCAGCGGTGACTTGGTCTAGAATGATCAAAGGGCAGAAGGAACTGACTTGGAGCAAAAGGATAAAGGAACTAATATGTTTAGCTTGGCTAAACAATGACTAATTAGAGAAGGAAGTGAGGGACATGATAGTTATCACTGCAGAGATAGAGCCCTGGGAGTGAAGGGGATGGCTGAGGGATGTATAACAAGGCACTGAGATTAAACTGAATGAAGGAAAATCATGCTGAATTTTGAGGGCAATGTGCTGATGGTGACCGAGTGACCAGCCAGTGATGTGGCGTCCCAGGGAATCTGATGGATATGCAGTTAAGACATAGGCTGGCTAAGGCTCTAGAAAAGTCTGTGTAAGATCATTTTGCACTATTCATTGGTCATGGATTCAGGTGGTACTTTGTGATGGAAAGTAAAGCCCCTTTCAGCTATTACAACTGATGTACATGCAACAGGCTCCAATATCCTCCGCACACAGGGAAAAGCATGCATTCAAAAGGACAGTGATGGGGTGGATTAAGGATATACTTACACTGTGCACTATAATGTGGTGTAGATACCAGACTTACCTCTTAAACTTGGTAAAATAACCCACTCAGCTCCATGTAGATGTAGCTACACTGCTTTGAGTAACAAGGCAGCTTGTTGAGAACTAGTTCAGGCACCTCTCCACTCTGCTTGCAGTGTAGACATACCATTAGCAACAGAAGCTGACGCTGGGTTGTGAATATAGATTAAGCAGAATATCTACCAAATCCTTCCTGGCCATCTTTCTTCTTCCCATGCATGTTTGAGAATCGGGGTGAGAAAAAATTAGTTTTCAGATTTGATGCTCTTTTTTGGCTGATGCTTGTGTTGGTTTTCCATTGGAAAGTCTAGTTTTTAATTGCTTGTAACTTTGCCAAATTTAACACTATTTGAGCGCAACATTTATTTATTTATTACTACTACTAGAGTTTGCCTCATGTTAAAACTGTTTGGGAGAGTTTCAGTCAGGTCTGCTCAGATGTTTCAGAGAACGACATCAGGGGAGTATAACAATTTACCCTGTGACCATTCTGACAAGCATTAATGGCTCTGAAATTTAGAGCAGGGACTTGCAAATTTGCCTGGCATCAAGGAGGTGCTTGTTAGGATCCCCATGAAAGTCACCCAAAATGTAGGTCTTTCAAGTCGCCTGCAATTGCTGCTTCTACCCGTTTGGAAGTTTAGCATCAGAAAACTAAGATTCCATCTATGCAGAGCACGTTCCAATTTAATTATGCTGGGGTTTCATTGCATCTGTACCTCCTGGGGCTACCATGGCTCCAGACACAGAATTGAACAGGGAACTCTCTCTGTCTCTCATACTCTTGGTGCTGAAACTGCCTATTGTAAAGACTGCCCAGCACTTTCTATGGAAAGATCGTTTTTAGTTACTACATTCAGCTTGTAAGGAGGAAAAAGTTGACATAGCCCAACTCCCTGCCAATTAAGTCAGGCTATGTGATAGGAAATAGGAACAGGAGCAGAAGGGTCTGAAACTACTGCAGAACCCAGTCCACCTGAACTTGGGACAGAACTCCAGGTACTTCAGCCGCAACATGCATTTTGTGGTCCTCCCACCCCCCTCTTTGGGAAAGTACAGCCTTTGCAGTCTCATAAGGGAGCCACCATGTGAACTGACATGGGATTTGTTCCACGTTGCTCACTAAGGGCATGGGATGCCCATTTACAAGTGACGCAGCTGGGAACACTTTAAAAGCCCACCTTGGAATAAAACAACTGTAAGGACTGGCTACGTGTGCCAAGTACAGGGAAGGACTCTGCAAAACTAACTGCCCCCTATTTGATGGAAGGATGCCCCACACCTGTATAACAGTGCAGGCACTGACTGGAAAGGCCTTGGCACCCTGCACTGGTATGTATGAAAATGCTCACAGCTCCGAATCCCAACCGTAGCAGCTGTTGGCGCTTGGGGTGAAATTCTTTTTAGGACTAAAATTCCCACCACATGGCAATAAAGAACCTTCCCCTCCCAAACCACGCACTGGACATCAGGTTGAAATATGGTCATTTAATAAAATTTTCTTCTAAAATTACTACAATCCATACAACATTTAGGGCTGGGGTGCAAGAAGAAACCACACTGAACATAGTACGATCAAAAACCAGGAACTGTAAAGTGACAGTTTCTGCTATTAAAACAAGATAGAGGCTTTAATTTGAGGACTGACATGCCATCTTCACGCAGGTGTTCACACGCACGCTGTAACTGGTGCTATGCAAACTCCAGCCAGGCTCTGCCTTGTGGCAGCTTCATGCAGTCCGGTTCACTAGCATCTCCAAGTCTGTATGTGCATCACACACATGCAAACAATACAACTCTTCTCTGGAGAGAGAAAGTGGGGGCTGCGTATGGACAAGCAAGGGCAGGAAACCACAAAGAGAACTCGGCATTCCACCCGTGGGAGTCTACCGCGGACCCGCACGTGCAAAACATGACCTGAGGCTCAACGCTGGGCTGTACATCCTTGCTGATTCCATGTACTGGATCTGGCCAGCCATGGGGAGAACCACTACAACAAAACAAGGATGCTTCAATGGCAGTTAGCAACATGGAGAGGAAACCCACCATTCCCCACTTTGCCCTCCAAACGGAGTCGAGCTGTGAAGGGCCTGCTTCCTACGGACTGACTGTGCTTGCCTGTCACACTCGCAAAGAGTGCTGCTTCATCCGTGACACCTGTGAACCATCAGGTAGATCTGGCCTGGGCAGTTCTGTAGCAGCACCCAAAACTATCTTCATCTTCAGTACAGAGGCAATTCCTGCCAAGACTGCAAGGCCCAGCATGCAATAGGCCAGGCTTGTGAGTTAAAGATGATGAAGAAAGGAAATCTGCATTCTGTGCAAACCAGCTGTCAACACTTGGGCTCCTGGCAGCCTTGGACTGGGCAAGCACCACGTGCTCACTAACAGAAAAGGTTCATTTCCATGAGACACAGCAAATCCTGGCTAGGAATTTAGGTGAAAAGTGGGCAAGAAGCTGAATAGTCTCTGGGCCCTGCTACTAGCACTTCTGAAGTGGCTGGACATTGGGTTTCCCCCATTCTCTATTGCAGGAGGTGGGAAAGGAAAAAACTTCAGAAACAAGTGGAGATTTCTACCTCATTTCTTGATAGCTGGTGAGCCTCCTTCCTCTTCACCCTCCCCCCTTAGCATGCACCAGGGAGCAATAATTGCCCAAAAATAACATATTTAACATTTCTGAACAACTAACTTTGCAACTTGCCCATTCGAGGCTGAGTATGCTCGTCATGTCGATGATGTTACACATGGTAAAGTTATTTCTTACTGGGGTTTATCAGTAAAATTCACAATACTCTTTCCATAGGAAAACAAAATGTCTCTGCGGGTTCCCTTCTTGCTCCTGGAAATGACCAAGGTGGCCAGACAGTGGGTTCTGACAATAAGCCAATGCAGTAGTATGTCCATCCATAGTTGTCCGAGGTTAGCAATGCACCTGCTGCTCCTGGCTTTCTGTTGCTTAGCAGTTGATAAGCAACCAGAAAGGCCCCTGTAAACAGCAGGAGAGGCCCAGGCATATCACTTATATTGAAGAACAAAACAAGCCAGCAGTTGTTGGAGAAACCCACCATCAGAAACCCAAACAGCTGGTTTATTGGACAAACGGTTTGATACAAAGGACAGAAGGAGTCCCAGAAGGTAAGTCTTGGCCAGGTTTTCTGTCAAAAAGTGCTACAAACATGGATTAATGAGTTTATAAAACCCTTTGTGTCAGGCTACAACCATTAGCAGGGCAAGCTTCTTACCATCAGCCCCCAGGGATAAAACGCATCTAAACCTTTTTGACTTTGGCCTGCCCAAAACAGGGAGGCCAAAACCCAGGCCTGGATTGGGATGACATGGGTGCCCCCCCCCCCGCCAATAGCTGATAGGATGGGACAATCCTGGTGGCTGCGACAAGAAAATCTGCATGCCCAGGGTAGGGTGCTCTGGGGAGGGCTGCTTGCCATTTCTCTCAACCTCCCCTCTGCTCGTTTCCAGCTTGCTGACTCTGCTCCAGCCCCCCAGGGCCTGGGAGGATTTCTGCTGGTGGAGCAAAGGAGGGGGTGAAATCTGGGAACCCAAGTCACTAGACAGAGTTAGTCTTCCACTGTGCCAGCTCTAAGCTGTGCCACCTGTGGGTGCCAGCACTGGAGCTGTTGGCAAAGGTGAGATGCTCTATGGAACCGAGGGCAATGGAGCAAGGTCGGTGTCTCCCTGTTCCCTCCATCCTCTCTAGAGACCCTTGTGCTTTGAAACAACTCTTCTCCCTTCACCAGAAGTGAGGAAGGACTAACAGAAGCCCAAGGTGAGGACACTGCTGCCTCCTGTGCTGCTCTTCCCTGCCCCCCAGAGGAACCAGAGGCCCCATGGAGGCCTGGGAACTAGCAAGCAGCTGGGATGGCGCAGAGAACATGGGGCATGAAATTTGGGGCGGGGGTGGTACATGAACACAACAGAAAGAACAATGAGAAACTGGACGCCAAGAGTGACTCCCCCAAGCCGTGAGCAGGTGTTTATTCGGTGGACATCTAACAGCTCGGCAGTGGATCCTGGTGGGAGCAGCGGTGGCGGCCTCATCTGTAGAGCCCCTCGGGAGGAGGGGAGTTTCTGGAGTTCTGCCCAGGCTGGTTTTTGGCATTGTGCATACAAGTCCGTAGCGAGCTCAGAAGGGAGCGGTTACTGATGTAGCTTGGTATTCGGAGGGTGTAAGGAAGAGTCGTCAAACAGGGGGTTCTTCACCTCCATCTCTCCGGTCTGCAGCGGTTGGGGAAAAACCAGGGGGTTAGAGTTCACAGCAAGATGTTCTCAGCCTCATGGCACACTAACACAGCATTTATTAGGGCAGTCCCCCCCACACCATCTCCTCAGTACAGCATTCCCTAGAAACCACATCTAGGCCCCATTGTGCACAGGCCACAAGAAACAATGCCTGCCCCAAAGAGCACAGACAGACTCATCTGACCAAAAGGAGAAGAGACAGAGATGGGAAATGACCTGCCCCGAGTCAGTAGCAGAGCTGGGCAGGGAACCCAGGTGTCCTGAACCCAGTGCTCTGTCCACCAACCCTAGAGATGTTAGTGCTCCGTTCTGGGGCGGACTGGAGCAGGAGATGGAACCACACAAAGACTTTTTCCTAGATTCCCAGCGAGGGGAAACACACGTGGAAGTGCTACAGGCTCCAGTGGCTGCCAAATGCTTGCCTCTCCTCCCTGCGGTGGCAGTATTTTGGCCAACGGCTTGCTAGGTTGATCCCAGTGTTTTGACCTGGGCTTGGTCAAGTGACAAAAGAGATGCAATTCAACCAGCCCCAGGCCATGTCAGGGGAGGGCTTGGGCAGGCAGAGCCCACACAGCTGGGGATCTCTTAGAAGAACAAGGCAGATGGCTCTGACTCTCAGCAGGGGAGGAGGAGAAAGGAAATGGCTGCCCTGCAGAGACCTAACTGCTGTCCCATTCTGATAAAGCTACTTCTGGTCAGCTTTAAAACTAAATCCTGAGTCAGCTTCACAGCCAGGCAGGGCCTGGTTGCTGAGAAATCTGACAGGAACTGACTGTGCATTCCCCAGACTGCCAGTGAGGGATAAACAGCTCTTTAATGGGCCTGTAAAGATGTAATGATGACCCTTAATCTAGGTCCTGATGGCCTGGCAGGGATGGCTATTACCATGTGAAAAGCTGCAGTAAAGCTCCCCTCTGACTTATTGTGTCCTTTACACCATAACTTGTAACAGGGCTGTTAGGAGTTGCCATTGTCCAGGGAGGCAAACCCAGGTCCCCTAGAAATGAGTCAGAAAAACTCTCATCTGGATTTTTACATTGGTCAGTACCCTGGGGAAGGGGGTGAAGAACAGATCTAGTTTTCCTATCTGGCCTAATTAACACCACACTGCCTCTGCGTGGAGAGGAGTTGGGGAGGAAGTGCTCACCCCTTCTGTTCTGGGAAGGTGTGGGGGTGCAAAGAGTCAGAACCAGTGATCACTGATCAGGCACAGCCAGCGAGTGTTTGGGCCTCAGAAACAGCTGATCATGGAGACCCACTGAGGACAGCTAAGTTGTGAAAACAAGAACCATCATCTAGCACATCAAGTTTCAGAATTGTGCAAGATCCCAAATCAGACCAAGATAGAGAAATCTTGTTTTTTCTCCAAAAAACATTTAAAAAAACAAAACAAAACAAAACTTGCATTGACATGGACAAAACGTTTAGTTTGGACTTTTAAAAGATGAAGAGTCAAAATGTTAAAAACAAAAACCCTAACATAAATATTTTGATGCTAGTGACAATTTCCCAGGGAAGCTTCACAGCAGTATGTTCCAGTGTTTATAATTTGGCAAATCAGGATCTTTTAGTAGAAAGTCACTATGTTAGAAAACTTCCAAGGAAACCTGAAGTGAAGCAGCACTGCTTCTGAACAGGGTGTCTGTGAACCTTTTTTGGGAGGTACCTTTGGGCTTGGGAGACGGTCATACCCCAAGCTGGTGTGAAGGGAGGATGAAAGGAGGGGTTAACTCCTGCGAGTCATTTTTAAAGGTCTCATTGCAAAAAAGAGAAAAAATCTGCAATCCCTGAAAGGACAGAACTTCCTCATAGTTGCCTGTAAATATAGAGTTCTCCACCAAAACTGGCCACAGCCATGGATTCAGCTAGTTGGCCGTATATCACAGAGATACCAGTTCTTCCAAGAGTTGGTTTATCAAATGCCCAAGCTGCCAACTTACCGGAGCCAGACCCGGGCACTCGTATACAGTGAAATCTCCATCCTCATTCTCTTCGTCAGATGATGCAGAGTCTGGCAGCTTGGGTTCTTCTTTATGTCTGCAGTGTGGAAGGCACATAGAAGAGTGTGTGTGAAATTCAGAGGGGTAATTTCCTCTTGGATTCAACAGTGGAAGCCCAGCCTGCTCTCTAGCAAAGTGGACCTCCTGCTATTAAGCAAAGCCAGTGGGGATTTGCATCATCTTCAAGCCCTGCTCCCTGCTTTGGCCCCTCATGACCTGCACTGAGAACCCCTTCAGAGAGTTTGGCTTTTGGCTCTAGGCTTTTGGGCAATTCTTAGTCTGGGTTGAGGCTTGTTAACAGTGGCAACATGCAGAACAGGTGCTGCCTTCTCTGTAAGCAGAAAAGAGTCACTCACTTTTCCATGGAGAGCATCTGCTGTTTTTGGTGTTGGTAGTGATACATCTGGGCACTCTGAGCCAGCTTCTTATCCCCTGGCTACAAAAAGAAAAACAGCAACAATGAACCCAAAGTTGCAGAGAGCAGCTGAGGCCTGCTCTACAGTAGAAAGCTTTGCTGATGGAAGTTTACCTGCATCCCCACAGAAAAGTTGAAGTGACAAAACCCCAGGTTTCTCGTGGCTGTAACACTACTTCCCAGGGCGACACAAGCCCTCTGTTACCATAGGGCAGCTGACAAAGCATGTGTGGACAGTGCTTTGCTTCTAACAGCTGTAGCAGTCCTCCATTAGCAGTCCCACAGTGCCTTGCACTGACTGCTCTGGAAATCACTTTGAAGCACACTGGCCCAAATTCAAAACGACTGGAAGCCCAGGCTCTCCACCACTCAAGTGCATCTTGGTAGCAATATTCTCCCCACTTTCTACTTTGCTAATTTTCAGGCACAACTCAGTGGGGTTAACAATGAACCACCTTGCCAGAGGATTGGGGAGAAGGGGCCTAATGTCTTACCGAGATCTTGTCATATGGCAGGGGGCCAGATAGCTTCTGAGCCGAGTAGTCTGTTTTCTGAGCTAGTCTGATCTCTTTCTGCAGCCTGCCATGGAGGAAAGACATTGGTTAAGCAGGGACAGGCCCAAAGTTCAATCTTACTGTTTTCGTCAGTCTTTGGTGCCATCCCCCTGCAAAATAAACCCACCCACCCCAGCTGTGGGCTGCAACTGCAGCAGCACATCCAGCCCCTACCATGTAATAAGCTTGCCATGGAACAGTTTAAGGGCCTGGTTTCCTCTGCCTTGGCAGGTATTTGAGTGCATGCTGAGACATCTTCCCAGTCCATCCGTCTCCCTGCTGGTACTGGGCACGCAAGGTCACGGAAATACACAAAACCCCAATGCTTTCTGACATGCTTGGAAAGAGAAATGCTGGAACATTTCAATTGCCTGTTGGCTCCCTGTAGCTGAAGAGAGGCAAAGCGGTGACTTGGGCCAGTGGGTTTCTATGGACAGCTTAGAGGATGCTCTCCCTCTCTTATCATACAAGATACATGGATGTTCACAGTGAAAGCGCACACTGCAAATTCAGAACAAGTGACAGGAGCTGCTTTTTGCACTGAATGTGATTTGAGTGTGGAACTCACCCTCACAAGGTGGCAAGGAGGCCAAGACCTTAGGAAGGCTCAAAGAGGGAGTGGACAGATACAGGGACACTGATATGGTAAGTGACTTTCAATGCTTCCAGGCTCACAAGGAAAAATGAAAAATGTCAAGCTTCAACACCTAGGCTAGTCCCTCAGTGGCACAACCACAAGGAAACCATTATGGAGGCCTATGCCTGCCTCCTGTATGTTTTTTTTCCTCCTTTGGTCACTGGCCAACACCACCCACTGGGACCTTGATTAGTTACCATGATCTGTTGGCAGAACTTTTGGTGAGACAGACAGGTGTTATTGCCAAGCAGCCAGAGAATGTGCACATTTGTGCATTTTGGTGACTTTACATGGCTCTACTCAGCAGCCATGATGCCAAGTGAACCGTGGGTGGGCACCCGCTGCTAAAGGGAGGGCAATGGAAACCTTGCTCCATTCAGCAGAGGGGGCATAACTTCGCAGCAGCATGGAGCGTTCTGCCACTGCACAGGAGCTCTGAACGTGGACTCTGTAGTGCAGGCCAGGCCTGGGCTGGATGGACTTTGGGGCTGATCCCATCTAGCAGTTCTTGGGTGCAGACGGAAGTGCAGCTCCCAGCTGTAACTCGGAACATTTTTGCAAAGTGTTCTGAGTTACAACATTACCCCAGAAGAAACAGAATTTCACTGTTGGTTCCAGGGGAGAGGGGAATCAGCCTGCAGCCAGGATCCCGTAGCTATGGCCAGGCTCTCTGCCAGTGCTTGCTGTTTCAGAATGGGAGGTAAGACACCTGCCCCACCCTTCAGGGGGGCTGAAAAACCCCCATACTGAAGTCCCTCTCCTCCCTTTCCCCACTCCCATTTTGAGAACAGGGACAGGCTGGGAGCTCTGCAAACACAAGTGGCAAAAGACCCTACTTTTTGTAACATCTTTATTTGATACCTCATGCAACAGAGGGGTCAGATTTTCACCCAATCGGCCATTTTTTAAGCTGTTTGCAGCTATGCGCTTGTGTTTGGTCACAGCTATAAACTGCTTTCTGTGGCCAGATCAGGCAAAAAATGTCACTTCTGTCTGCACCTCTTATGTCCCTATGAGCTCTACCTTGTTCACTGCAGGGCTAAGCACTTTGACTTTGTTCTAGAGCAGCGGTTCCCAATCTGTGGTCCAGGTACCACCAGTGGTACGCAGAGAACCTGTCAGTGGTACGGGTTAACAGAGTTATTATAATTACTTTACATGACAAAAATTTGCTGGTGGTACTTAAAGTTGTATCGTTTTAAATTGGTGGTGCGCAATCTGTCAGAGTTTGGGAACTGCTGTTCTAGAGAGTCCCTCCCTGTGGGGTGCTTGTCATCTGGGAAGTACTTGGCCCCCAGCGCTATTGGACCTGTTATTTTAGAACAGTAGATAAAGATGCTTTAAAAATGAACATCCTTCTATTTCTGATAATGCCCCTTTCACCATCTGTTCCGATATGGGCACTTCACGTCTCCTCTTTATTAAACAATAACAAGGAAAGAGTGAACCATCACCCCCACCCGCCCCCCAATTTACAGATCAAGATTTCCCTTTGGGGCACAACTCTGTGGGGGTGGGATGAGCTGCAACGGTGTTAAATTAACCCTGTGGCTGCCAGAGGGATACCTGGGGCTTAAGGCTGCTACCGCTCACTTTCTACCAGTGGCGAGTTGTTCAGCTGGCAAGGCCAAGGGTGCTTGACACCCCTGCACTTAGGTTATGAGCTATTTGTGACAGGGGCTCCTGTGTCACCATAACCCACATCTTAACAGACCCAAGAGGTTCCTGCCAACATTGTTGCCAGGGTATATTAATTGGATGGTACTAACTGGATTGAATAAAAGGAAAAGCCTTTTATTCAGGCACACAGATTTGCTCGGCCTTAGAATACTAGCTGTTTGACCCCAAATTCACTTCATCAGATCTAGTGTCTGATGCCAGGTGCATGTATGTGCGCGAGTGAGCATTTCTTGGGGGCTGGCCAGCAAAGGGCTCAGTGTCAAGTCACTAGTCTGATGACAGCTACCTCTCTCGCTCTAAAACCTTCTGTCCCTTCACCTCATAGAAGTCATGTTTGATGTTAAGGGGAGACTCGGCAATTTGCCAGGATGAGCTTACCTGCACCAACAGATGGCAGCCACGATTAAAGCAGATATCCCAGCTACTGTGCATGCCACTATCATCCCTGCAGGGAAAAGCAGAAGGATCAGAGGGAGTCAGTCCAGTTCACCTTGATGCTACTGGGCAGAATATCATGAAATGGACTGAGGGGAAAGCTATGGGCTAAGATACCTGCTTGAAAGAGGAGGGGGTGGCCCTTGCTGCCAAGTCCCCATACCTCCCAAGTCAGCTTTTGTGGGTACCATTCACATGCACTTAAGATGCAGCCGTTTTGATAAATGCATTTCTGCCAGGCACACAGAAATGGTACACGAGTGCATGGTCTTGTGATGCTTAATGATGTGCACTACAAGAGTACTGGCATGGGAGGGGAACAAAGCTGGTGTGACTCAAGTTTCACACGTGCAAGCTTTGACCTTGGTCTCTGTCCGCTGGCAATCCCATAAATCATAGAATCACAGAATCAATGAGTGGGAAGGGACCTAGACAGATCATTGAGTCCAACCCCCTGCCATGGGCAGGAAGGAGCACTGGGGGTGGCAGGGGTCATAAGACCCCAGCCAGGTGCCTATCCAGTCTCCTCTTGAAGATTTCCAGGGAAGATGAGAGCACCACCTCTCTGGGAAGCCTATTCCAGGCTCTGGCCACCCTTACCGTGAAGTAGTTCTTCCTAATATCTAACCTAAACCTATCCTCCCTCAGCTTGTGGCCATTGTTCCTGGTGACTCCAAGGGGGGCCCTGGTGAACAGACTTTCCCCGAGTCCCTGCTGGTGGCCCCTGATAAAGTTGTAGGCAGCCACAAGATCCCCCCTCAGTCTCCTCTTGCGGAGACTGAAGAGATTCAGGTCCCTCAGCCTCTCCTCATAGGGCTGGCCGTGGAGGGCCCCAACCATATGAGTGGCCTCCTCTGGACCCTCTCCAGGTTCTCCACCTCCTTCTTGAAGTGCAGTGCCCAGAACTGGATGCAGTACTCCAGCTGCAGCCTGACCAGCGCCACATAGAGGGGCAGCAAGACCTCTCTGGACCTGTTAGTGATAAAGCCACTCTGCAAGACACTCTAGGGTAAGGGTGTCAAACTCATCTGCCCTATGGGCCAGATTATTGGTCCAGAACCAGTCCACAGGCTGGATGAACAGAGCAGAGTCAGCTGGCCCTGCAGCCTGGCTCAGGCCCACAAACCCCCCCC